CCGAAATCCGAAACCCTGAACCCGAACTTTTTTTCCGGCCTTAGCTCAGGCATCAGACCCAGGAAGAGCTCTTTGCGCAGACCGAGGAGGACCTCTTCGGCGAAGACACGTAGTAGCTGAGTGAGTACGCTTTGCACTTTCTTGGGAGAATGAAATCGGCTAGAGAACTGAATTTTTACAGCTTTTGGGTGAAATTTTGGGGTTTATGAAGTCTTTGCGCAGTTTTTCGGGATTTTGGGGTGTATGACGTCAGCAACTAAGGACAGATTCCCTGCACTTCCAGCCCCGGGCGATGATCTGGCCATAGAGTCGCCAGTGTTGCAGCTGAGGTTTGGGTGTAGGTTGGCCTGCATAGGAGTTGGGGCTTAGGGTTTAGGGNNGGGTTTAGTAAGGGTTTAGGATTTAGTTGGGGTTTAGGGTTCAGGGTTTAGGGGAGTTTGGGTTTAGGGTTTAGGGTTTACCGGAGTTTGGGTTAAGGGTTTAGGGCTGAGGATAGGCTGGCCCGCATAGGAAGCCCATTACCCCTTCAATAAGGAATAGGCCTTACATTATAGGGGCATTTAATATTGTGATTTAAGGTATATTCCTTAATCAAGGGGTACTGGGCTCTCTGAGTATCCAACAGAACAGATAATCACAGCCTTGGCTAGCAGAGGCAAGCGGAGCAAGCAGTGTTTGGTATTGACACCGATGGTGTTGATTATAGCACAGCACCAGCAGCTTTTGCAGCTCCGATCGGTCAAGTTAGCAAACCGTTCTGTTGCCCGTGTGTGCCACGATAGTTACACTGCCACAGTGGCAATATGCAGGCATAGTGACGGCGGCAAATCTTGAGAATGGCACAGACAGTGACAGTGAGAGCCACTACGTCAGTGGTCAGCAGCAGGGGCAATCGGAGGGGTGCCAGGAGAAACGGCCGTCACAGCTTCAATTCCCATTTTCCGTACGATGGTGACGGCGAGCGTCTTGCTGATGGCGAGGTTGATGTCGCCAACGCTGATAGTGGAAATGCCCGCTGAGTTGCCCGTTTGTTTGACGTGTTGTTACAGTGCCTCATGACGGCAACTCCGTGGTCATGGTGGTGTTGATGCTCATGGTGATGGCGATGCTTAGAATGGTAGTGCTGACGACGACGACAACCCGGACCATGTTCAAGTGCTATCGTTATATTCGTGCGATGACGACGGTGATGAGGGCAAGTTCGTTGAGCTGAGGCTGGCGGCGACTGCACTACGGATGATTTACAGTTTTCTTCTTAAGTGATGGTAACTGTGCTGGTAGTAATGGTGAAGTTCTTTGCCATGACAACGGCAACATGACATGTAGCAACAGCCGCCCCCATTGGCGAAGGGTTTTGCGGCTCCATAGGTTGACCTCTCGCACTTTTCAGCTTTGGCAGCTCAGGTTGTCAAAGGAACCGACACATGAGGAGAAAGTGATGCAAGTGGATCAACTTGTGCAGGAGGGCAAGGAGGCTGAGAAGGCGGAAGAACCTGAGAAGGGAAAACCCGAGCCAGAGGAACAAGAGGAGCCTGAGAAGGGAAAGCCTCCACCGGAAGAGCCTGCGGAAGAGAAGCCCCAGAAAGAGGTGCACGAACAACCCACTGCGCAGGAGATGCCCCAAAAGGATCAGCTTCAAAAGGAGGAGGCCCATCAGGAGGCGCCGCAAGCGGGCAAGGCCGAGACGGAGGAGTCCCAAACAGAGGAGCACCACAAAGTGGACCCTGAAGACGAGCTCCCAGAAACCAAGACGACGGCGACCGCGACTCTTGACGAGGCCCTGTGAGAGAAGTTGATGCATGGTATACCTCCGGTACGTCATCAAGGGTGGTGTGAGGATGGGCTGCGTTGAGCTTTCCTGCGGACATGAGGTTTAGACTGGGGAGGTTGCGATTGGGGTCAGTGGGCGTGAAAGTCTTGATCTCAATTTGAAAGCTCAGTTTGGCTCGTCAAAGTTTGCAAGTGTGTTCCGGATTTGCTATTTCTGTCTTGCTGGAGTCTTGCTGGTATGCCTGTTTAGTGTCCAGCCCTAAACCCTGAAGTTCGGACCGATGGTTGCCTGAAGTAACTTGCGTTTCGGAGCATGCCTGTGGCATGCAGGAGGCTGGTTGGACGTAGTAGAAGAAGCTGGTAGACATGCTAAAAGTGATGAGGTTAATGGCAACCACAACGATGATCTGGCAACGATGACATTGGTGGTGGTCATACTGATCATGGCGACATTCTGACTGGTATTGTGACGTGTGTTTCCAGAGGCTTAAGATTGTAGAATGATTGCCATGAGAAGTCCATGTCGAATATCGCTGGCCGTGGGCCACATGCCAATCATGAAAGCTTTCCCTTGCCCCTAAATCAGCGAAGAACACCCCACGATATCCAAGAACGCCCAATCGCCATCGCTGCAGAGGCGGAGGCAGCGGAGGGTTTGAATCTCGAGGAGGCCAGGGCCCCAAACCCTATAACCCAAAAAGTCCTTGGCCAAAGCGCTTTCCGACGTACTTGACAGACCTCGCCAGGCTTATTCCGAGTTGTGAGCGCTGAAACCCGGACCCCTAAACCCTAGAACCCTAAACCCGAGCTCCTTGTTCCGACCTCGCCTCTGAGCACTGTTCTCTGCAATGCGAGAGGGAGAAACCCCCTAACCCTAAACCGTGGGTTGCCAGGCTTTGTCCGAGTGTGAGTGTCACCCTAAACCCTAAACCCTTAAACCGTGGAATGTCTCGTTTAGGGCTTAGGCTTTAGGGCTTGGGGTTTTAGGGCTTAGGGTTTTAGGGCTTAGGGTTTAGGGCTTAGGCTTAGGGTTTAGGATTTTAGGGTTTAGGGTTTATATGGCATATAGTTCACAGCATATAGTATATAGTAGATAGTGAGTGGAGATAGTGTAGTACAGTAGAACATAGTATAGTATCGTAGACGAGGATTACGCACATTATGCTGCTTGGGCTTCTAAGAGCGATGAAGACATTGCAACTTCTTGGCCTTGCCTCCGATCCTGACGAGCATGGTAACCCTACAGCGGCAAATATAGTTTAATGTAGTGATAGGGCCGCTAAGTAAGACGCTACACTCGCAACTCTCCCGTTCTTGTCGCTGAAAGTCGTAGGCTTCAGCAGGTGGAATGAAGGGAGGTAGGATTCAGCTTCCCTCTTATAAGGAGCCTCAAGCCCCAAACTGAACCCGTATCTACCGAACCCCCCTCAAAACACCTGTCGAAAAGCCCCTATGACGTCCTTACCCTTTGAACAAATCGCCCGAAAGCCTCACGATCGGCGGGCCCACAGGTGCCCACTCCGCCCGAAAGCCTCAGCCTCCCCAACTCCGAGCTTGGCTTTCTTTGTGTGCTATCAGGTGGCTGACAGTATCTTCTTCAGTATCCGTATCATGGTCCTTATCATGTATTATGCTATGGTGGTGATGATCATAGTGATCGTTTTAGATATGATCGTTTTCGATGCATACATTTCCCATTGCCCTATCTACCTTTCTACATATGGGTAGCTCTCTAAACCCTAAACCCTAAATCCTAAACCCTACCCATATGCCTGTTCGGCCGAGGAGCCTGGGCTGACCAAGCCGGCGCCGGCGCCAACTTCCCAGGAAGTGTCCTGCGTCAGGCGGGGTAACGGGGAACTTAGGGGTTTACGGTTGAGGGTTTAGGGTTTAGGGTTGAGGGTTCCCAGTGATGACGCCTTCCAAACCCCCTTCAAAATGCTTCACTTTCCTACACAGTTCTGCGGCTGTGTCATAACGGAGCCCTCCTTGCCGCGCTGATGGCCTCAACAACCCACGATACCTCATCTTGCTGTCTGGCACTTTTTTTTGCACTGGCTGTGCGGGCCCTCTTAGATACTCGAGCTTTGGCTGCAACAGCTTACCGCTTAAAGTGGCATGTGCCTGCTGCAAAAAGGGGAGGGTGGGGAGGCAGATACCAGTCACAGGGATAACGTGTTCACTGGTGCCGTAGACCCCTAGGGGTTTAGGGTGTAGGGTTTTGGGTTTAGGGTTTAGGGTTTAGGGTACCAGATCCCCACGGCATGTGTCCTGAACATGTGGGCGGTCCTGGTCGCCATCCCTCCACCCACCGGAGTGGTTCCCAGATTTCTGGGAGCAGATAAACCTTTTATCCTTACCACTGGCTCGAGATCACTGAAACAGGAAGGAAACGTTGTGGAGTAAACCATTACGGAACGGTTCAAGTAAATAGATAAAGCAATAGATGGATCATTTACTTAGATAGATGGATGGATGGATGGATGGATGGATGGATAGACAGATAGATAGATAGACCGATAGACAGATGGATGGATAGATAGACCGATAGATAGAAAGATAGATAAATCAACAAATAAACTTACGAAGTACACCGGTCGCTCTCCTTGGTTCGCTTCCGAAGTAATGGCCCATATCAAATGCCAAAGTCCAGGAGGTTTCTTTCGAGCCTGCAGCTTCACATTCAAGCCCTACATCCGATCCTGAAACCCAGACCCTTAACCCCAAAGCCTAAAGCCTAAGCTCAACAAAAGCCACACAGTAGATCCTCAAACACTAATTTCTCAACACCTTGGGGCCGGGACCCCAAGAACCGATCGGAGTTCCAACTCGAGCCCGAAATTGCTTTAGGGTTTAGGGGTTAGGGTAAGTAGTAGTTTAGGATAAAAGGGTTTAGGGTTTAGGGTAGTATACGGTTTAGGGTCTACCTGTAGCCGACAAGAGCTACCCGTCTTAGGGTTCCTTATTATGGTTTCTACATACTATAGCTCCTTAAAAAGGTAGATCTTTGGACCACAGGTAGGGCCTCCATAGGGGTCGGAATACGCGGGATGAGTTTTGGGCTTTAGGGGTTTAGGGTTTAGGGTTTAGGGTTTAGGGTTTAGGGTTTAGGGTTAGGGGCCATCACCCGAAAGCCTCATTCACCACAGGTACATTATCAATGGCTTCCAGACGCCGATGCTCAACGGCGTCTATGAACTCAAGCGGGCATCTTGCCGGCCAATAAGCAAGTTTGCCTGTAGCGGATGCAGGATGGAGAGCAAGGGGGCTTAGGGATCAGGTTGTGCCTGCTTTTCAATGCTAGAAGACGCTGTCACGCTCACATGCACTGGCTTTGGTTTGGTCTTGCTGCGCTGCTGCACAAGCGGTCAACTGTCACAATCATTCTTGGGATGTAAATGATCCTCACATCCCCCCCATACTCTCGATTGAGGAGTACGAGGATGGGGCACATAGCCCTGAAAGACGGACGCACCGACGAAGCATTCGGAAGCCACGATCAGCAGCCGATCAAAGGGAAAAGGGCAAGGGCCGGTCCCGACCCAGGAAGAAGCATGCCCTCCGACCAAACCAACAGCAACCCAAAAGCATGGGTCTGTGTTATAGGGGTGGGGATACTTACTAATCTAGTTTCTTTGGGGTCCCTTATGTTCATTATACTATAACAATGCATCCCAAACCCTCTCCAAACTACTAAGGCCCCTATGTTACAATCAGCCCATGAGTCCTTCGATTGTAGGTTTTGACCATCGATCTGTGACGACATCACCGACAAGCTCCATGGAAGAGCAGGCTCCTACGTAGAGAGCCCAGTTCCCCGCAATCAAGGGCGAACCAACATTGAAACCAAAAAACTGCGTCCACCTCCAACTCGCCAGGCTGATGGGAAAGCGCCAACCTAAGCGACTGGGATGCCGCACCACAGGGACATGGAACAACAACCCGCCTGACTCTTGCCGCACCGGCGAACCAATTTCGCAGCCGATTCGTTGGACCACGGTTCTTTTCATTCACGTGATCGCGCATGCACTGTATTTCACAGGGATGCCCGCACATCTCAATGCTGTAACCAGGTCTGACGTGGGATAGTGTCTGTTTCGCTCTCCATCAGAAGTTGCAGCTTGAAGCGGCGTGAGCGTACGGGTGCTTCTACAAGAAACTTTCGACTTCCATTGGCACTCTCTTCGTTGCGCATCCGGTCCCATGTAGAGACCTCTTTTAGTTTGACGATCAGCCTTGAACTCCTCAAACTTTCCAAATCCTGTCAACTCTAAATCCCTAGGTCCTGGGTCCATTGTGAGAATATGCTTGAAGCTCCCCCCAAACCCTCAATCCTGAATCCCAAACCGCCGTTCGCCTGGCTTCTAACAGCCCTGACCCCCTACTCCCCGACCCTTGCCACTCCCTGGCGCAAGACAGGGAGTGCCTTTCCTTGCTTGGTTAAGGGTTTAGGGTTTGTGGTTTATAGTAGAAGCCAGAAAGTTGGAGCATGGGTTTTGGAGGAGTAGTGCTAGGATCCCTTAATCTTTATCTTAAGGGCATGAGGATAATCATGTTCCAACTTTCTGGCTTTTTCTACAGGAGTTTAGGGTTTGGGGTTTAGGGGCCTGTGAGAGAGAGAGAGAGAGAGAGGGGTTTAGGGGTTTGGGGTTTCGGGTTCAGGGAACCCTAAGCCGACAACTCTTCTGTACTTCGCAGTTGTAGACTCTGGATTTCCTGTGAGGGCAAGTACGTGGGCCATCGGCAGACGTATTGGAAGATGTGCGATGCCCGGGCCTCGGGAATGTCGATTCGTGGTTTGCCTGGAGAATCTGAGCGCCCCTAAAGCAAGCAGCTTAGGGTATATGGGTTTAGAGGGGTTTAGGGTTTAGTGGAGAGGTTCAGGGTTTAGGGTGGCATGTACAAGTCTGTGCAAAAAGGGTTGCGCAGTGCTTTGATTCGGATTGCTAGTAGGTGAAGCGTAGGCAAGTACAAATGTAGCGAGCTAGGTCAACTAAAGCCCTAGTTACTGAGCCCCCGTATCCTTGAGTAGTCGGGAGATGTACAGTTGCCTACACTCCAACACCTAAACCCTCAACCCTCAACCCTAAACCCTAAACCCTAAACCCTAAACCCTAAACCCTAACTTGTAACCCTACTTGGGCTTCTGACTTTCAGTCGAAGGCGGTTGGCCGTGCAGGATCTACAGCTACCAAATGACTGCTCCAAGAGTCAGACAGACTTCGCCCAATGCCTTTGCGTCCAAGCCGTGACAAGCCAGGGCTTCAAACCCACAGCGAAGAACCCCGAATCCCAAAGCCCAAAATTTGGGCGTACGTTGATGCGGACATACGGGAAGGACCCCTGAATGAAAGTACTCCCAAGACACCAAAGCCCATAGCCCAAGACCTTTACCAGTTTTCCTCCAGACCTGCTTAGCCTCAGTCCGCGCAACCCTTTCTACTTGGGTACCCACTTGGGTGGTTGCCAAAATTATGGTCTCTTTTTGGGTCCTTATTATAATACGGCACCTATTATTTAGGGTACCCCAAAAGGGACCCTAATTTTGACAACTACCCACTTGGGTTCAGGCCAAGTTCTGCGTGAGGCAAAACGGGCTAAAGCCGTACACTGCACCTCAACGACAACACCCTGAACCGAAGGGTTTAGGGTTTAGGGTTTAGGGTTTAGGGCAGGGTGCCGTCGGAAATTAGCAGGTTCAGGGTGCAGGTTGATAGAGTTGTCCAAGACGGGTTTGCAGGTCCCTAAACCCTAAACCCAAAACCCCAAAACCCTAGCACTCTTGATTCCCACCCACATGCTGATAGGACATTGCAAGACAGACCCTAAGCTCCGCACCCTGTTGGACTTGTCTCTCTCCGCCATCATTTCGGATCCCTGACTCCCTGCACTTGCTGCGGTTTACCTAAACCCTTGTGGGTACTGGTGTGTGAAGATGGCTTGTCTTTTGATCTCAGGTTTACCACCTCAGCCTATAAGGCGTTCTAAGTGGATTGGCAGGCAGAAAAGAGGTCCCTAAACCTAAACCCTGAACCCTGAACCCTGAACCCCAAACCCTAAACCTTAAACCCCCAAACCCTAAGGCCCGACTGAGAAGCCGTGAAGCCGTAACCTCTCCTCTGACACCCCCGAGAGCCTCGGCAGGACCCGACGCAGGAGGTCTTCATGTTCTTCTACGCTCAAGAGCAGAGGTAGGGTTCAGGGTTTAGGGTTTAGGGCGTTCAGGGTTTAGGGTTTAGGGCGTTTAGGGCTTAGGGATGTTTGGGGTTCAGGGTTTAAGGACGTTTAGGGTTTAGGGCGTAGTCTGGCTGGCTTGAGTCCAGTAGCAACAAAGGGTTTAGGGTTTAGGGTTCCCCGTTACCTTCCAACCTTCTGAGGGTAAGGTTCTAGGGTTTCTGACTATTGAGCATCTCTATTCGTAGATGCTAATCCCCTCGTAGAATCAGTGAGTGGCACCCAGCTGATGTTGTCTTGTCTACCCATCCTCATGTATCCATTTCAGCATGGCCTATGGCAATGTCGCCGCTGCTTTGGGGTGGCATGTGCTGCGTTTGAATCAGTCGCGCCCTAAACCCTAAAACCTCATTTAGGTCTGTCGGGGTTGTTGGAATCAGGAGTCTTCGTCGTTTCACCTTGTTCAATGAATGTGGTCGCTCGTCCAACCTACCATCCTCGCCTGCAGCGTCCGAGTCGCAAGAGTTTAAACCGAAAGCCCTAAATGCCAAACCGAAGCAGACTCAGAATACACCCTAAACCCGGTCGGCGAGCAGGGGCTCAGAACTCTGGCTGGTTCGAGGTATGACAGTGTCTACAGCCGTGAGTGTATACAACCTAAACCCTCAGCCCCTAAAACCTAAACCCCTAAATCCTAAGCCGCTAAACCCTAAACCCTAAATTCTAAACCCCTAAACCGTAAACCCTAAACCGTATGGCTACACTCTAAACTCTTTCCCTGGTTCTCCAGGGGTTCCATGCTGTGGGTTTTTATGGGGATTCGGGTCCAGAGCATCCCAAGTCTTCGGCACTCTTCTTGGACCCTTTAGGGTTTAGGGTTGGAGTTTAGAGTTTCGGGAGCTTCAAGAGCGAAGTCCTCCAGGATGGTCTCAACAAACAAACATGTTTCCAAGCGCCACCTCCAACCCTAACCTCCTAGATGCCTGCTGAGGTGGCAGCTGTGCCCACTGTATGAGGTGCAGCTCTTACAACAGAGATGCACTGTTGCTGTGGGTGAGTAAGCTCCAGGTCCTCAATTCTTGGCACATGCTGCCGCAATAGAGTGGCTTAAATGATCAGAGTCGGGTTTGGGGTTATATCGCTCTCGTGTTTCATAAAGGGGGCTACAGGGGAGTAGCAGCGATTGTTCAGCCTCCACATAGAATAGAATGCAATATAGTAGAATCAAGCAGAGCATAATGCAATATCACATGGGTGCTTGTCAAAATTATGGTCCCTTTTGGGGTCCTTATTATAATACGGCACCTATTATTTAGGGCACCCCAAAAGGGACCATAATTTTTGACAACTGCCCCACATAATTGATGCATCAGCATCCTGGGAGCCGCAGCAGTAGGACCCCCTGGAGAGCCCAGTGCCCCTTGATTACGGAACATACCCGGAATCGTAACTTGAAGCCCCTTATAGTTGAAAGTATTTATTCCTTATCTGGATAGTTGAAGGTATTTTATTCCTGAACTAAGGGGTATAAGGCCCCCTGTATTTTCGGGTATATTCCTTGATCGCGGGATATTGGGCTCTCTGACTCTGTGGCTGCGCAAAGGTGGGGAACTACGAGCCGGAACAGAGCATGTTCAAACAAGCGAAAGATCCACGGCGGCTAGGATTTTGGGTTTCGGGTTCAGGGCGAGGGTTGAGGCTTGAAGCGAGACAATGCAGTCCAAGCCTCAGGCCTGGTTTTAGGGTCTAGGGTTTAGGGTTTAGGGTCCCTTGTGAAAAAACGGGTTTGGGGTTTTAGCCCCTGAGCCTTATGCTCAAAGCCACCCGAACCTTGCGAGCCTTGCCGGCTGGTGCGAGTGTGAGCTCTAAGCCCTAGGCCGCACCTCCTACAACGGTAAACCGCCAACCCCTAACCACCATGATGGACCACATAGAGCCGTGAACCTTTTGCTCAAGGTCGAGTTTCTTTTGAAGCCGGTACTAAACGAAGGTGGGCATTTAGTGCGTTTTGGGACTTCCGGCCAGGGTGTACGTGGTTAAGGGTTTATGGTATGAGATGGTCGGGGTTCATGACCAAGTAGGGTTTTAGGGTCTTGGGCTTAGGGTTCTAAGGTTACCTGGCAGAGTCGTTGCAGGCCAGATGCTAAAAGGGTTTCAGGATGTTTTAGTGTTCAGGGTTTATGGGTCATCCTGTTTCTTTCAAGCTTAGGGCTCCGTAGTAAGCCGGGTTACAACTAAGTTGGTTGTAGCAATAGGAGCGCCCTAGAACCCAATTGAAAGTACCTATACTCCCTTCCGATTTGCTGCGATTCACCCCGAAACTTCAATTCCTACAGCCCAAGAGCCTGAACCTTGAGAGTCAAAATCATGCGACCCGTACGCAGATCCTTGAGCCCAAAGTCTGTTTCCTAAACTTCACTCACTAGGAGCTTGTACGCGAGTTCGGCGATGCGCTCTCTCACACACACACAAATTTTACCGGTTCGGTAACTGTGGTTGTGCTCTGTTTCGTCATGCCGGAGTGGGCTTTTCCCTTTGAACCTGCACCCGCCCGAACACTAGTGTGTTCTCTGAGTGCGACCTCGTCGGCTAGGCGAGTATGAAAACTGCACCCACTGCCCGTAAAGCCTGAGCCTTAAACCCTAATGTAGGAATCTGATTAAGAAACCCTGGGCCTTTATTAGGGTTCATAATCTGAAGCCTCATATATTGGGGTTATAGGGCCAGGGTTTCTTAATCAGGTTCCTACACTAGAGCCCACCCCCTAAAAAGTCCAAAGTTCGGAAAGCCCCAAGCCATCGCCCGCAAAAGCCAAGGAGGGAGAAGGACGAGGCCCACCAGTCAAAGGGTGTACAGCCGCCTTACCCAGAGAGCCCAATACCCCTTAAATAAGGAATATACCTTAAGTTCTAGGGCTCTTAATATTATAATTTAAGGTATACTCCTTAATTACGGGGTATTGGGCTCTCTGGGTAATGCTTAGGATGGGGTTTGGAGGAGGGTGTTTTCAAATTACCGCAGGGTGCAGGGAATCCTGGGCAGATGCCTGATAACTTGTGAGCCCGGTAAGTTTTAGCCCAAGAAGAATTAAATGACAAAGCCTAAAATAATGTCAGACGAGAGTCGTAAGCCCCAAAAGTGGCTGCAGTAGCAGTAGCAAGAGCAGAAGCATTTGCAGCTCTGAGCCACGCCCCTGGAGCCAAACCATTGGCCCGGTTCGCGTTCTGTCTCACCAGGCACTCTTGCTGATGTTTTTGCTTGTGTAGGCTTCAGGGGTCGTGAGAGTCAAGACGCGTCATGAGATGTGGTGACTGCGCAGGTGTATTGGTGAGGTTTCGGTTTGGGTGTTGGTGCAATGTGCCTTTCGGCATGAGGTGTTCGGCATGACCCAAAACCTGCAGTCAAGCCTGAGATGCAGAAGCCTCAATCCACCAAGCCATGCGAACGTGCGCTCCGAAACCATCAGTACCGAAATATCATATGAACACGAGAATCTCCTCCCGGCAAGGGCCAATAAATCAGACGAACGAACGATGTCTTGAATTGTTATAGCTGAACCCTGCACCCCGAGACCTATAATCCCAAACCTCAAACCCTAAACCTTAAACCCTACTAAAGCCCGAAGCCCTAAACCCTATGAGTCTGACGAGTTCGAGCATGAGAGCGCAAACTCCGAGTGTGAGAGAGCAAGCTCTAAAATATAGGGTGTAGGGTTTAGGGCTTAGGACTTTGGGCTTAGGGTTTAGGCTTCCCGGGATCGGAGCTTGGTTCAAATTGTGAAGTCGACCTATCGGAGGTCTGGCCTACAGCACGGCAGAGGAGCGAGTTTGGAGAGAGTTCGTCAATGGCGCGTGGATGCTGGCGGAGTTGCAGATCAGCCCGGGCACCCAAGAACGATGCCCCTTTCTCATAAATCGGACTCAGAAGCCCATATCCCCAATAAATAGGACTCAGAAGCCTATATCCCCAAATCCCGGCAGGGTTTCTGACCCATCTTCTTCCTATTCGGAACCGCGCAGCATGTTTATGGGGCCAAGCCTGCATCAACCTGATCACAGCAAAGTGCCCATTTTTCTTGGCATCGAGAAGATTGGAGGACCCTTTTCCCTAAACCCTGAACCCTAGCCCTGGACCTTGGGGCCTGGCCAACCAGAAGAGACCACAAGACTCGGCTTTGGGGTTTAGGGGTTTTCGCCCGAGTCGCAAAGCTGTCTCGGGTTCCCCCCGGCTCCTTGCCACTCCCCCAACCTCTTCCCACTGTCCGAAACCCATTGCCTCTCCAATCTTCTCGTTTCATTTCGTGTTCAGGGCCTTTAGCATTTTTCGGGTTTGGTTTTGGGGTGTGTCGGGTTAAGAAACGTAGGGGGTGTGGGGTTTCACATCGACAGAGTCGGACCGAGGCTTCGACCAGGGCAGTGGCAAATTCGACGCCGCACTGGAACCGCACCAGAGCGAGGTGCACTGCCTCCGTCGGCAGCAGAGGTTTGTGGCAGTTCATGGTTTACGGGTTCTAGGATTTAGAGCTTGGGGTTCGAGCGCTTGTGAGAGACAGGGAGAGTGTGCTTTGGGTTTGACCTTTGTTCGGCTGGTATAAGCTCAAGCATGAAACGTGACACGCTGGCAGTTTGGCTGGTAGTAGGGTTGACGGTCTTGAAGCCGAAGGAAGCGGTCTATGACACACCCCAGCCAGGGTCGTTCCAGGCTTGGCAGCAGGTCTTGCGAAGCCCGGGTACTTCAAGTTTTTTAACAGATGCCTAAGCCGTGAACCTTGCAAGCCCTTGAGGCCCAGGCCTTAATTTCGAATACACAAAGCCCTAGGCTCTTCATTAGGGTCCCAGAGACTCCAATACCCCTTAATTGAAGAATATGCCTTAAATTATAGTAGGATCCCTAATAAGATTTAAGGTATATTATATATTCCTTAATTAAGGGGTATTGGAGTCCCTGGGGTTCGCTTCGGTGCAATGGTTGTACGGGCAAGAAGATGGGACCCGCCCTCAACTTCAGCAGTTGCCGGCCTGCGATGCTGCACGGCTCGTCACCCTAGTGACTCAGAGACTCCAATATCCCTTAATTAAGGAATATACCTTAAATCATATTAGGGATCCTACTATAATTTAAGGTATATTCCTTAATTAAGGGATATTGGAGTCTCCGGGGACACTAGTGCCCGAAGACAGGGTTCTCTCCCGAGATGGTCACTAAACCCTTGAAGAGGTTCTACTCTCGACCTCTGCTTGCTCAGTCTCCCGAAGTCCTCGCCGAGTCATGCCGAGTAGCAAGTGGAGAAAGGTTAGGAGGCTTGGGCTTAGGGAGCTTTAGGAATTAAACCTTAAACCCTCAACCCGTTATGGAAGCCCGCCGCTGCGGTGGAGTGCCGAAGCAGAGTTGAACCCGAAGAGCCAACAGCCTGAAGCTCTGAGCCCGAAGATTTCCGGGGTTCGGGGTTTAGGGTTTAAAGATCTACAGGGCTTGCGTAGGAGTTCTACAAGGTTGCCACTGGAGTTGTACAAGGTTTCCATACGGTGCTACAAGGGGTCGGTAGGGGTTCTATCAGAGCTGTTTGGGGTGTTACCACTGGCTGGTTGTGACCGGCTTAGAGAGTGTAGGATTAAACATGAGTCAAGTTCTGGTGGCCTGCTGTGTTATGCAGTTCCCAGCTCCAGCTTCCTTTGCAGTTACCCTCAAGTTCCCCTCATACCCGCACGTCGACTTGCCTTCGAGGCGCAGGTGCAACATGTACTGCCGACTGCTTGTGTTGTTGCCTTGTTAAAAGGGGCCAGCTAGGGTTATTATGATTACCATTACCATTATTCCGAATTATTCCTCTTATTATTATTGTTGGCTTGGGGTTTAGAGCTCAGGGCTTCTAAACCCTAAACCCTAAACCCTAAACCCTTAAGTTCTGTGCAGGTGCCAGGCACCCCGGGCCTGCCGCCGATCGGACAGGGCTGGCCAGGGCAGGGAAACATGCAGCCTCTCCGACGCACTGGCGGTTTAGGGTTTAGGGTTAGCCATTCATCAACCCCCCTGTAGGTTGAATGCCCCAAAGCCCTAAATCCCTAAACCCCGGAGATCCCTATCAAACCCTGAAGCCCAACCGCACTGCCCTGCTAAACTCTAAACTCGAACACCCTCAAGCCCCATATACTTAAAGTCCTTAAGGAACCCGCAAACCCTAAAACCGCGAGCACCCTCAACCTCGAACCCTTCATAGAACCCTTATCGGAACCTTTAGTGACCCTGAAACACTTCCCTCTGAAAGGTACATGGGACTTATAGCCCCAATTGAGGTACTTAAAGCCTGACTAAATCCCATGAACCTCCTTATAGAACCCCTATAGGAACACTTATTCTTGAACCCCTACTCACTAAGCCCCATAAACCTCCAAGCTCAGTCAGTGAGGGCACCTCAGACGCCAGCTCTGGCTTTCGCCGCGGCCTCAGTGCATCCTGCTGAAGCAAATTAAAGGGCTTTAAGGGTTTAGGATTTTTCGGGTTCCTTTCGTGACTATCTAACCATTGCAGGATGTTGTGATATAGGACCTTTAAGACCTTCATGTAAGGCCCAGAACAATTAGAACAGGCTTCGTTTAAAGGTTCCTTCAACGCAGGGTTTATTTAGTATAGGGGCCTTCTTCACTAGAATAGGATTCCTTTAAGCGAGCGGGCTTTTGAAATCATTATAAGGGTGTAGTGTCGGGGCGTCAAGAAGTAGAGTAGGGTTTCGGAACATGCTGTGTATCAACATATTGAGGAGACTTCAGGCAGAATATTGGCAGATGAGGTCGGGACAACCCGTTATTGTATTGCCTTGTAGTCCTTATTGCGATTCCACTACAACATTCCCCCAAACTTTAGCCGTATCTGCCGCGTGGCAGCGGTGCTGGGGTCAACAATGTCGATTCTGTGCAGGCGCAGGTGCCGGGTACCCCTGGCATGCCGCCAATGCAGCAGCTACTCAGATGCAATGGGTCGATACAAGCGTGAGTTGGATTCATGTGGAATCATGCGCAGTTGCGCAGAAGTGGCACAGGAACGCCCGATCTGTGAGCCAGGGATCACTCGCCGCTGTCATGCTGATGTGAGCCTGAGGAGAGAAGCAGACTTGATCAACCAATGCCACAACCGATGAGGTCGCCTCAAACTCCAGCGCAAGCCTTCGCCGATGCCTCATTGTATGATTGTGAGGGCATGCCTGCAGTGAATATACTCGTTGTCATTACTTCGATCCTAAGGCCTAAGGTTTGTAGGGTCTTGAAGAACCGGTCGTCAGAGTGAGTAGTCACATCAACCGGTGGTACCATGAAATTTCATATCATGTCATCCCAGCTTGCGTGCACTCTGTTTGAAGCGTGGCACGGATGTGCTAAGTCTCGAGATGTGCTGAGCCCTGCACCTATGGGGTCAACTCTGTCGGTTGTGCGCAGGGGCAGGTGCCTGGCACCCCTGGCATGCCGCCAATGCAGGCCGGCCTGGTGACTGGGGGCATCAATCAGTGTGTACAGTGACAAGATCGGCAAATACTCGGTGCCTACTTAGAAGCAGCGCCCGGATGTGCTGCATCTTTGGGGTCAACTGTCGATTCTGTGCAGGGGCAGGTGCCTGGCACCCCTGGCATGCCGCCAATGCATCAGCTACTCAGATGCAATCGGTTGGTAAAAGTCTGAGTCGGATACCTGTGCAATGATGAGGCATTGCACAGGAACACCTGATCTGTGAGCGAGGAATCACTCATCAATGTCATGCTGACGCGAGCCTGAGGAGAAAAGCAGAACTGATCAACCGATGCCACAGCCGATGAGGTCGCCACAAACTCCAGCGCAAGCCTTCGCCGCTGCCTCATTGCATGATTGTGAGGGCATGCCTGCAGTGAATATGCTCGCTGTCATTACTTAAGACATGCGGCTTGCGGGGTCTTGAAGAAACGTCGTGAGAACGACGGGCAGGTGCCTGGTACCCCCACACCAATGTAGGTCGTCAGGGTAACCATGGACATCAACTCGGCAAACATGCAAACAGGGTTGAAGCTACTGTTCCCAGAGCTGCTGCTTGTGATCATGGGGGGGGGGGGGGTCATGAGTTGGTGGTAGGCACAAGCCGCCCTATGAACCCAAAAACCCTAAACAAAAAAGCTTAAACCCCTAAACCCTAAACCTTAAGCGGGTGGGAAAAGGGTTTAGGGTTCAGTGTGAACCCTAAGAGTGTAGGGGCTTAGTGTTTAGGGGGAGGTGCTGCTTCCCAGCTGATTGTCTGGGTTCAAAGACAAAAATGCTCAGGGGCTTTGGATTTGCTTCAGGCGGGGTCGTTGCAGGCCAGTTGCCAAAGGGTTTGCTTCATGTTCGGGGTTAAGGGATTTCTGGGGTTGAGGGTTTAAGGTTTTGGGTTAGGGTTTATGGTTTAGGGTTTAAGGTTTTGGGTTAGGGTTTGCGGTTTTGGGTTGAGGGCTTAAGGTTTTGGGTGATCGTTTAGGGTTTTGGGTTACTAAAACTAGAGGTTGACCGTGGGGTTATGTAGGGATTATATAGGGATACAGGGATTATATAGGGATTATATAGGGGTACAGGGATTATATAGGGATTATATAGGGTTTAGGGTTTAGGGTTTACAGTAGGTATTTGGGATTTTCGGGCTGAGGGTCGGGGTAGAAAGGGCCCTTTGAGCTCCCAACACTGAACCCATACTTCACCAAGAAACGGCGGTTTCCGAAAATAGGGGGTGCCTTATTTTGGGGGTCCTTCTAATAAGGTTTAGGGTTTAGGGTTTAGGAATGGGGGTTTCCGAAAATAGGGACCCGAATATAGCACCCCAAATAGTAGGATTCCTTAGTCTAAAGACCCCAAAGTAAGGTACCCCTTATTTTCGGAAGCTCCCAGTTAAACTGCCAAGCCCTTCGAACCCATGAGCCCTAAACCTCTTGAGTGCAAACCCTACTTGGAGGATCATGGGACTTAGTAACTTGGGTTATAAATAAGGTAACATTATAATTATAACCCCAATTAGGGTACTTATAACCTTACTTACTAAGTCCCATGATCCTCCAAGTAAGCCCCTAAACCCTACACTTATGGGCTGTCGTGGATTTGGGGCTCGTAAAAGTATGGTCAAAACCCTAAACCCTAAACCCTAAACCCTAAACCAAGAAAGGGTGCCTCCTAAACTCCGAAGCCCAAAGGCCCTAAACCCTAGGGTGTCGCACAGCGTCGGCCCCACATCCTCCCGTTCTCAAAACTCAAGGGTTTAGGGTTTAGGGTGACCCGCACACCGAAATCCTGTGAACTGGATGTCTTTGTAATTACACGGTGTTTAAACCTTGACCTCCAACACAGCATACTTAAGCCTTAAGCACAAAAGCCTCAAAACCCCCGACAGATCCAACTTCTGTGTCCCGGACGGAGATGACCTCATCGGCGGCGCGACAGGAGTAGCTGACACCTCCATGATGCATTGCACATTACATACTGTACGGGCTGCTCGAAGTCACGGACCCTTCTAAGGCCATTGGCAGACTAGGTCTTCATTAATGCGATTCCTTGACGGGAATTCTAGTTATACCATGGCATGCTGCTACTTGTCGAGGTTCAGTGAGAAGTCCCCATATTGAGGTTCTTAGTAGCTATAACTACAATTAACTGTGAATACCTGACATATAGCCCGACTTACTAAGTGCGCTGATCTTCCAAGCACACTCGCACTGTCGAGCATAGTGTGTAGAACCAGTGTAGAAGACAGAGACACAAACCTTCAGTACAACGTCTAAGTCTGATAAGATCATCCTCTTGCCTTTCCTGCCACCTTATTCTGTAAGCCTTAAACCCTAAAACCCTAAACCTACCGTTCTTGTCTGTAAACCCTAAACCCCTCAACCGCGAGTTCAGCTGTCGGGTTTCAGGAGAAATCCTGAAGCTTGCGGAAAGCAGCATGTTTGCACCCAAGTAAGGTTTAGGGTTTAGGGTTTAGGGTTTGGGATAGGGTTTAGGATTTAGGATTTAGGATTTAGGACAAGTAGGGTTTAGGGTTTAGGGTTTAAGGTTAGGATTTAGGATTTCTAAGAATCCCTGACGAACTACAGCGAGCATGAAGGTTTGGGCAAGGTCCAGAGGTTCGCCTTTAGGCTCGGGAGCTCAGACGAGACTCTGGGGATTAGGGGCTTAGGGTTTAAATCTAAACTGTGCCTTAAACCATATGGGTAGTTCTCTAAATTAGGGTCCCTTTTACGGTCCTTTTTACAAGAGTGCCGTACTATATTGGGGACCCAAAAAGGGACCCTAATTTAGAGAACTACCCATGCATATACACACCTTATCGCACCCATAACCCAGTAACTTACTAGATACGTAACTGGGGTCTTAGGGAAGGTTTACGACTCAGAACCAAGGGCGCGTTCAGGCGTTGAGGAAGGACGACTGCAGGAAAGCAGGGACAAGGCAAACTTGAAACTTTTGGACGGTCTTTCCAAGCAAGACCCAACCTCATTCATATGAGTGGTTGTCAAAATGGTCCCTTTTTGGGTCCGTAATATAATACGGCACCTATTATTTAGGGTACCCAAAAAGGGACCCTAATTTTGACAACCACCCATATCGAGCGGAAATCAAAACACCTTGTGACATGTAGCAAGTTCACTTCGAGGGACTCCGGCCGGCTTAGCTTTGCCGAGAAGTCGATTGCACTCTTCAAAAAAAGCGTGCGAAGCCACACGGTTTACGGTTTAGGGTTTAGGGTTTAGGGTTTAGGGTTTAGGGTTTAGGGGTTGGCTTGTGGCACGGCGAATCGTGAGCCTCTAGCACGGTACACCATGGTGACGCTGTTTCATCAAGTCTCCCAACATGCCACAGACTCACTGTCCCGTCTTGAACCCGAAACTTCTTACGCATGACACTCCTAAACCCTAAACCCTAAACCTGAAGCCCTAAACCCTCAACCTCCAAAGCATGGTGAAGGTCCGCGCCTCGTTGGGTCTTCTCTTTGGTGTGCCCTGGCTTCGTCTGGGTTCAGGATTTGGGCTTTTAGGGCTTCGGGTCCTAGGGTATGGGGCTCAGGGGTTTGAGGGTTTAGGGGTACAGGGTTTAGGGCTTCGGGGCTTAGGGTTTACTTAGGGGGGCCTAGGTTTTAGGACCCGATATCCCCAGTAAACGGATGAGGGACTCAGCAAGGCGTTTATAAGTTGAGGGGCTCGGGTTTTTAGGATCTTGCTTAAAGGACCAGGAGATTTGTAATGATTTGTACCTAGGTGTAAAACAAATGCCTTGGAGCTATACGGCTGTAAGTAAATTCAGCTCTGGCTACCTTACTTATAACCTGCTATCTGAGTCCATAACCCTGCGACTTTCGGCAGGTTCGGCATGCTACAACATTAACCCGGAAATGCTGTAGGATCCCCTTCACCTAAACCCTAAACCCTGAACCCTAAGCCCTAAACCCTAAACCCTAAACCCTAAACCCTAAACCCTACCCCTAGACTGCATTTCCTCGCAAGCCCCTCGATGGTGCCCGGCCCGCAGCGCGCCATCCCGGGACGAGAAAAACTCCTGCACGGCAGCGGCTTGGGGTTTACAATGGTTTAGGGCCGTTTAGGGTTTAGGGTTTAGGGTTTAGGGGTTTAGGGTTTAGGGTTTAGGGTTTAGGGTTTAGGGTTTAGGGTTTAGGGTGAACCGTAAACCCTGCACCCCCTAGACCCTGTTCGAAGAGGTGATCAGCATGCGCCATTTAACTAAAGGCGAGATTTCGGGAATGTAACCTCATCGCGGCATAGGGGATGCGATAGCGTATTGAGCAAAAGTCTCGTGTCCGCGCTCTACTTGAAGGATTCGTAAGTAGGGTTGCAGGTTACTTGAGTACTCAAGCCCTAAGATACGCTTCAGGAGTTGAGCAACTCAGGCTTGGAACTCGCTGGGTTTTCGGGCTCATATAGGGGCCTTAAGAACAAAACAAAAAGGCCTTCGGGTATATGACA